TCCTCTTCCTTGGCTCTGGTTGTTGGTGCATATATTTGAATGATAGTGGTATTCACTGGACTTCCTTGTATGCGTATAGATATTATCCTGTCACTGACAATATTGTACTTCAAGATAGATCTAGCAATGGCTTTTTTATCTATGAAAGCAACTCCATTTTTCCTCACTTTTTCATCTCCAGAGTAGTATATCATATGGTCATCTAAGCATTGGTGAGATGAGATGGACTGGCATGGGGCCACCAAGATAGTTCTTATTTGTTCTAATGGTTATAAAAGAACTGAGACAATTTCTGAATTCTTTATATACTGTTGTTGTTGTTATGTGCCATTGAGTCACTTGTGACTCATAGTGACCCCAGGTACAACAGCCCTGAAATCTGCTCTATCCTGGGTTCACAAAAGCATTCTGTCCACACTTCTACCCTCATTACCCTAGTCACTGTATCAATCCATCTCATCGATGGTCTCCCTCTCTTCCTCCATCCCACCACCCTTCCAAGCATGATGTCCCTCTCCAAGAACAAGTCCTTCCTTGTAGCATGTCCAAAATATTTCAGATGAAACCCCAGAATCCTTGCCTCCAAAGAGCAGCCTGTCTTCTCACTCTCTAGAATGTACCTGTTTGTTCTCCTGAAAGTCCATGGTATATTCAAAACTCTGCTCCAGCACCACAGCTCAAAGGCATCAAATCTCTTTCTATCATCTCTAGTCATTGTCCAGCTCTCTGAGGCATCACAAGCAATTGCAAAAATTATGTCCTAAATCGGGTGCACCTTAGTCTCCAGATTGACATCATTGCTCTTCAGTACTCTGGAGAGGTCCCTGGCAGTTGACTTTCCTAATGCAATTCATCTCTTTATTTCCTGGCTGCTGGTACTAAGAGTGTTGATAGTGGAGCCAAGAAAATTAAAGCTCTTAATCTCTTCACCATCTATCATGATGCTGCCAATCGACCCACTAGTGAGAATCATTGTAATCTTGATGGTGAACTTCAGTCCGTATTGAAGGCTGCAGTCCTTGATCTTATACAGCAAGCTAGGAATGTGGAAATAGTAAAATCTTTTTGGAGAGTCACCAGTGCAGATTAATTCCAAGCAACTGTGAGTAGAGCTGGATATTGGCTGTATGGTTCAGTTTAATTAGAAATAATGAAAGCATAACTAAAAGGTCTGTTTTAGTTCAAGATATTCTTACTACAAAATATAAACACTGTTGTAAAAATATACAAAGTCAAAATAAGTAAAGAAAATGAAATTTACCAAAACTCCCATCTCTTTAAAATTCTAAAGTCAACAAATAATCGAGTACTACAATACCAGCACTGAGCTAGGCCTTGTGCTAGAGAGATTTAAGGTTCAGAGAGCCGAATAAGGTTCATTCTCTCATAGTTTACTGCTAAGGAATTGCACTGCCAATGCAAAAGTATACAGTTTGAATCCACCAGCTGCTCTGCAGGAGAAATATGGATAATCTCTTCCCAGGCAATATGCTGCCTCTGAAAACCTGCTGGATAGTCAGCTATTAGTCAGTTCCACTTGATGGTGCTCGACATCTCCATCCTTCTGGAGCTCATGTTCTAGTGGACAGATAAGCAGTTCAGAGGTTATCAGTGGTAATATTTTGGGATATATCTGGGGTTTTCCTTCTTTTTGTTATTGTTATTAGGTGTCATAAAGCCAATTACACTCATAGTGTCCCCATGAACAACAGATCAGAGCCTTGTCCTATTTTGCAATCACCTCACCATCTCTATCCA